AAACTTCCAAAGATGGGCGACCCAAGTCTTCGCAAGAACTGGCGAGGAATCATGTTCCTGTCCACCTCAAGCAAAATATCAAACCATATCATTCTGGAGAGACTAAAAGACGCGCTGGACTTAAAATTACGAGCGGAACAGGCTGGTTGGTTTGCTGGCTTCAGGAAGAACAAATCATGTGTGGATCAAATTGTAACACAACGCTACGCTACGCATCATCACAGAACACAGCAAAGAATGGCAATCAACTGGATCTTCACCTCAACTTCATCGATGTTGAAAGGGCCTTCGACAGCATCGACCGAGAAGTAATTTGGCTGGCAGCCGCTTCAACACTGCGGTTCTAGCTCCAAAAACTTTATCAACCTCATTCAACAACTATATGACGATGCCACATGCCAAGTGATTCACAATGGAAAACTCAGTGACGCCTTTGAAGTGAAGTGAAGTGAAGACAGGATTAAGACAAGGTTGCCTACTATCATCACCGATGATCTTCCTGATTATGGTCGACTGGATTATGCAGCTGTGAGGGGCGAGAAGAGGGGCATACACTGGCTGGACCGATGAAGGGATCCTAGAAGATTTGAATTTCGCCGATGATGGTTTATATCTACTTGCACACAAGGTCGAAGATCTACAGGCGAAAACTAACAAGTTGACAGAAGAGGCGGGGCAGCGAAGACGGGACTTCAAGTGGATGTGGAGAAGACAGAGGAGATGAAGATACCCAACCAACAACAACAACAAGCACCAAACACCGTCAACGGGAGAAATCTAGAGGAAGTAGTCTTTTTCACCTACCTCTCTACCTAGGCAGCATCGTGTCAACTACAGGTGGCGGTGACAGAGATGAATGTGTCAAAGCCAGGATCGGAAAGACAGCAAGACAGGTTTTCATTAATCTGAAATCAGTGTGGAGACCTACTGCCCTGTACTCAGCAAAAGAACAGCATCCGGATTTCCAACACTAATTTAGTCAAGCCAGTGCTTCTTTTTGGTGGTTTGGAGACTTGGCGCGTCACGAAAAGCATTTGCAACAAACTACAGACATTCCATCAACAGCTGCCTACGCTGGCTGGATACTGAAGATCAGATGGCTAGAAGGAATAAGCAACAAGGAACTCTGGCTGGCAACGAAGCAGGAACCTATCGCCTAACAAATATACGGAAGAAGGAAGTGGAGACGGATTGGACATACACTGAGAAGCGCGATTGGGGACATCACGCGTCAGGCCCTCAAGTGGAACCCAAAGGGGAATGACGAGTTGGGCGTCCGAGGCGAGGGTAACATGGAGGAGATCATGTGAGGAGGAAATGAAAGCTTCTGGGCAGTGTGGAGCCAGGTTAAAGTGACTGCAGAGTGAAGTGGGACGTGCTACTGAAGCCCTATGTTCTACTAGGAACCCAAGGGACAAATAATAAATAATATTTTCTATTTAGGGTTGCAAATAGATATGTTTTATATCAGTGTGTTTCGCTGTGATATACCTAGGTTTTGAATCCTGCTAACGCGCTAGTCGTTCATTTTGGGAACGTTTAAATAACTATTTTTAATGAGGTTCCTACTGTCCACTCTAGATATTAAGCATATCTTTCTACCCTAGATCGCATTAATCGACAAACTTTTAGATGAAATAAAAACTTAATCACTTACAAGTTTGTTCTAGAAATTTCTTTTTTGAGTATTGTTTAAACTAGAAATACCTAATAGTGACATCCGGTACATGTCCATGTTCAGCTTGATGTTTATAACTAACTAGATGGGTGCTCTTCAATGGTTTTAGAGTACTCTCGGTAGGAAAACCGGACTTGCATTTTTATGGTTTAGAATAGCCTTCAAGTTGAACTGGTTGCATTTTGGTTCACTTAAATTGTATTTATCTGCATCACTATACCCAGTGCTTTCTCCCATATAATACCAATTTTTAGCATAGAAATGCAGTCTGGTAAGATGAAAATGACGAAACGCGGCTCAAGGTCGTTTCCTTGCAAGTATTGAGACCTGGGGGCAGTGAACGAGGGACCAGTTAACGGTAATAATTAAATAGAAAGGGAAAAAAAGAAGGGTGTTTACTGCTGAAAACGATACGGTGTCAAAATGTACATGCCACCTATAAGATGGTTTCCAGTTATCGGCTAACTTCATGCTCGTTGGAACTTTTCAGCTAGCAAGCGGTGAATACTCTCACTAGTGATCAATATTTCATTTACTTAAGAACTAGCCACTCTTCATAAAATGAAAAGTGCCGTGGAGCGTGTATCAAAAATACAGCCTTTAATATGCTATAAAAAAGCAGAAATACTTTTCTGGTGCACAAACTGAAATGTAAGGTTGTCTTGGTCAATCATTCATTGAATTACAATTACGGTCCCGCCGCATTCACCGACAAGGTCTTCGCGCTAGACATGCACTTCTGTAGAAGTATTCATGGAACAAATGTGTTGCAAAGAGATTCCCTGGCCCAAGCTATATGTGAGCGAACAAAAGGAAATGTGCACTTCACATACCCTTATCCATATTACTTCTATGTATATTGTAAATTAGCGTTGTTTCCGATTGGTTTGTGCATTCTCCTGCCAAATCGTCATTGATTTGATTCCCATTTGTTTACGTCTGTGTTAAGTGTAGCTCAATGTCAAATTATTTGCTCACTGCTGAGCTCAACTATTATCTAATATCTTCAGTGATGCAGTTACATGACTTTTTGGTTGTCAGCCTGAATATCTGTCTCGCTATGGAAAAAAATGAAATGCACTCACCAATCTTGTGCACGTTCGTGCTATAGGCAATGCGCCACATCTATTGTGTGAGGGCTAACGATACTATCTGCCTCCCTAAAACTCAATAGGTGTGGCGGGGTTCGGACCAGTGACCGATTGGTTGAAAGTCATCTCGGTGGTTAAGTTTCCTAGATGTTTCTCAAAACTAATCAATTTAGTGCAGCTGCATTCACATCACATCACTACGATGGCTGTCAACTACTACCGAAAATTTTCCATCTCACTGTCTTCCCTGTACTCAGACGCACATATTAAGCGTAGTAACTTGCCGTGCTACGCAGTTATGTCAAGTTCTACGGCGTTTGTTTCTTTATCACTCAGAATAAGGAAACTAATTCAGTATGTAAAGTGGTCAATACTGATAACCACTTTTTCATGTGCTTAGTAAGATGCTATTACTGAAACACAAATCTCTATTATGTATGCGTAAAACAGGTCGAACAGTTCCCACGAAAGCTCCTAATGATGCTCAAGTAACAGAATTCATGTGAAAGACTTAGGTAGCTTGTCCACTGGCCTCTGACATCCTGATTTCTTTAGCGCCTGTTGGATAATATATTCTTACCGGGCCACTGACGCTCGATGGCATTGTTAATGTTCCGATTTTGCACTGAGTATTTAAACTCTACCCTGTACAAGTCTATCTGCTAGGACTTATGATTCTACATCGTTGCCCAGTTCGTAGTAGATGGAACAAGTTTTGTCGGGGATACCATTATTCCATAGGAAACCTACTACATGATGAGTACTACTAATCTGTTTTCTTATTATTTAGCCGAGTTACGTTTTGATTTGAAAAATCGGTTTACCAATATATAGGTCATGTTATCGATTTTCTCATAAACACCACGAGACATGAATGTAATGCGCTTCTAGTCTGTTGTTTATCAATCTAGCGAGTGATGAGTTCGTTCGTTCTCGTTATCTCTCTACTTAATCAGGGATCGCTGACCAAGTGTTTGAGGCGGGAAATCACTCGCTTTTTACGTGAAAATCCCATCTTAACGGAATAGTATCGCAGTTCACAACACGATTTGAATCTGCGACTCATCGTCTGAAAGTTAAATGCTTAAGCCAATCAGCTACATGCCGTGAGCGCCGGTAAAAAAGGATATTAGGTTGTTTGAAGACTGCATGAATTATGAGTATGGAGAATAATCTGAACTGACATGTTTCCAGTTGTCTTAGCTTCTAAGCAAGACGAAAAAATTGAATGAGACGACATAATACAGTTAGGTCTTGCACGCGTAGCATTGAGCACAAAGGCAAAAAATTTTTTATCCGAAACCATCCCCACTCGATAATAGCCTATATGCTGTTCAAGTGAACGTGACAGTGAAAATAAAAAGGAACATTGAAACCCATCGTTGTGTCCTTCTAATCTCTGCTTACACCCACTGACTGCAGTTCGAATGAGGTCCCACCGAGGACTGCATAGCCTCCTACTGAAAGCTAAACTTCCAGATGTGGTAGTTGCTGCAGGTGATTTCAGTTTACAAGTCGGTAGGCCAAGCTAGACAGAAAGGCTACTTAAGAATCCCAGCCGAACGAACAGATAGCGGTGACCGCCCACTACAACTGTCTCAGATAACCGTTTATTTCTAGCTACCATAAACTTCATACATACACAGAGACGTATTATGGCTGGCATCCATCGAGCTCAACTCAGCGGTGGACACAGACAGACTACATTGCTATCACTCATAGTTGGAGATGGCTGTTGGAAGACTGAAGCACTTGTTTTGACGGCGACTACGTGTTGGTTCGAGTGCGTATATGTCTGCGTCTCAGTAGCTGTATGAAAACTTCAGCGACAAGACCATTACGAGTGCAGCTCGACAATGAGAGTACTAAGGTCTCCTTTAGTAAGAAACTGGTTCAACAGTTATTGGAACGGAACAATATCACCCATCTAGAAGAAGCTTAGCACCATCTCCAGTTTACTGCAGACAGCGCTGAAGACCATACCTGGCTGTCAGAGAGTGGTTAAAAGAAGGCAGTGGATATCAACAGCTTCTTTTCAATTAATAGATGCACCCAAACGAATTCCTGCAGGCTCTGAACTTAATGAGGAACGGAAGCAACTCAAATATAGACTGGCAAGAAGTCTACCCAATGACAGCGAAAAGTGGCAGACAGGGAAGGCTAAATAGGCGGAAAAAGCAGTGGTGATAGGTAACAGTAGATAACTACTTAGTTACGGCAGATTACAAGTGTGAAACAATATACGTTTATTGATTAAGAAATATTTAGGCAGCACTCAAAATGTACAACAGAATAGATAAAGTGATAAGAAAACTCTGTGAAACTGATGATGGAAGTGCTGGAAAAAAGGAGTTACGAAAAACACCAATAGGTTTAGAAATGAAACTATACTGATGTCTTGAATGGGTTCGTGGTTACTTATCTCATTCTTAAATGACTTGGTCATCATATTTTCAGACGACTAAACGGTATTTGGAAGTTCAACAAACCTTTTAACTAGATGACATTTTAAATCATACGATTATAGTAGAAAGGAAATAAGCGACAATAACATTGTGATGATTCATAGTTCCTCTTTATTATACACTATTTTACTTTTGCAAGTAGTCAAGTAATGAACCCAGCATCAAATCTTCAGCTGTTATATCAGCGGTAAGCACTCCATCCTCACCAACTGCTTCATATTGGTTTGTTCCACGATCGCTTTCTGTAGATATAGATGTGATATTAAGAAATTCACCAGGTATCGGCATGCCTATTGTAAAGTATAAGTAAGGCAAAAGAAAACTAAGTAGGAAACGTATCACGAGATAATGCAATACTAATCCATTGAGTGATATGGAAAATATTGTTACTAAATTGCAAAATATATATTTAACATTGATACTGAGTAATTAAAATAGAAATTAATTCTGCACCGCGTCTGCCAAATCTTAGCTATCTCACATAGTTAAACCGATAAACAGTCAAAAATCAGAAAAGCTCCTTTTGTGTGTCGCGAACTATTATAATAAATAAAAGTGCAGTCTTATACACAGTAGAAAGAATTCATTGGCTGGCTAGTGAACTTCGTATTGCCCTTGATACATAGTAATATTATTTTGGTGACATTCTTTGTAGATGTTTGGAAGCTAATTTAGTAAATTATATCAACACATACACAAACAGCTAGCCATCGGTTCTGTGTTTTGATATTCAGTCAGCTAGGATTTAGAGCGAATTATCATGCAGTTATAAAAAGTCAACGCATATTAGATTTGGAATAAAATATCGATCTATCCACCCTCCAGTCATGTATCTATTTAACCAGATATAAATAGTATTTTTTCAACAGTTTTTTCCTGTTAGCATCAGAAGTACACTTCAAATTAGTTTGGTGGTCTGCAATTTCAAAGATCGGCGTTTGCTCGATGATACACAAATCTTCAACAATCCGACATCTTATTGTCGTGCATCTTTCACTTAATAGCAGGTGACAGAAAAACTCCCTTCAAACTTGTTAAGCCCGTCAAAAAAAGTACAAGCCCTTATACTAAGGTTTTTCTTGAAGCATATACAATAAACAAATATGAAGACTACCGAGTGCATTTCAAATTATCTTTACAAACCAATCACATACTACATCAGGAAAATAAGATGTAAAAATAACTTACTGGGTGAACGAAAATCCACCAGCCGGCATTCAGGATCTAAGCACTTCTGGTAATAACAGCCATTGACAAAATCAAAGATCAAACTGAAAAAGTGAGTAGACACAGCGGTCAGTTAATTTAAACTGCGTGAAGGTCATACTCAGTTTCATGAATATATATGTAGAGATATTTTGTCAGATGAAGATGCTTAGCAAAATGTGATACTTGATTACACTCATCTCATACAATTTCCCGTACAGCGAAGGAACTTCCTTCCTATTTGTTCACTTAAGAAACCTCAGAAAGATATTCTTCAACAGTTTGTTACCAACCAAGTTTATACAGTACATATAGGAATTCCTGTTTTGAACTGTCAGACGTTTAGTCCTTAAAATAATTCTCGTCACATCATTGTAAAGCAGAAGCAGTTATATTACGAAAAAAGATACTCTTGGATTAAGGTAAGAAGGCAATACATCACTTCATGAATATTCGTCAACTGTATACAACGTGAAAGCATAACAGTTATTGAGGGAATTTTTTTTAGAATAGCAAAACTATAGACGATTGAAGGATGCAACACAAGAGAAGGATCGTGAGTTAAAAAAAAACCAAGAAACACTGAGGAATTGTTACCATCCTACGTGGTGATAAATAAAAGGTTGTATATTTGCAAAGATGGGGGAGGAATATAAGGGCGTAGTGGGCGTTGCTGATAACAACGGATATAAGTAGTATATATCGAGAGGGTGGCAGGAATCATAGGGAATTACCGGCAATGGGTAAGGTTTCTGCCAAGAGCAACGCAGGGGACAACACAGGCGTATTACAGGGGATGCTGCTGATAAGAGCGTATGAAGAGCCAGTCAAATCAAGACAGGAACGGAGAGGAAACGAAGACATTTGCAAATGGCTGCGTTAGTGCAAGGAGTACCATATGTAACCACTACCATTCCAATTCTTCCTAGTAAACATTCTCTCGTCGAGTTGCCTTCTGTCGATTCAGTACTAGCTAGCAGGTTGCACAACATGTGAACGAACAAAAGTTCACACGATTGAAATAAACTCAGTTAAAACCAGTAGAGAAATAAAATAAATAAATGAGATTGTAATTGACATGAAGCAACATCAAAGTACAATCTGCATAGGAGAAAATGATTGGATATTTTGCACAAAGTCTGCTTGAAAACGTTTCGTGATAGTCATCTTCTTAAAGCGAAATAGTCAACGTAATTTCTAAACGTTTAGTATTCGAAAACCATTGGACAAACTAACTTGATATCCAATATCCTACGAATTTCTTTCAATTGCACTACACAGAATCTTTCTTGTGCATGTATTTTTCAAAGCGCGCTCAGAATATAAAGTGGGAACTGTCCTCCAAATCAACTTGCTAACACAAACGTATATAAATTCATAGATACAATTGGAGGTAACATGAGCAAGAATTCACTCACTTTTGAATAGCATAATGAGCATAGTATCATATACTAATAAAAGTTGAGCTGCTGGAGAACTCTTGTCTAGTGTTCCTTCAACATTTGTCTCCATTCTCTCTGAAATCGGGTCCCCTTTGAATGCAAGAAGAACCAAAACTTTTTTTTTTCAATCTTTTCCTTCTCATACTTTAAGATAAATAACTCACGATATCCACTCTCCAAGATATTTCTCGATAATGCTCAACTTTTCTTCTAGCTTTTGTCTAGGATGTAAGTTTCTGGTGAGAAGAATGCTATAGTAGTTAGGACACTGTATAATCTATGTACCTGTTGTATGGATTGTCTGTATGAGGTATAAAATATTGAACTTGTTATCATGTTCATAGTCCCACGTATACTCACTATTGAGGTGAGTCTGGATTAGCTTACCGAAAACTTGCGGTGTTTCATAACACTACAATCGACAAATTTGTCTTTGATGCACCTGCAGTAGTAGGCTGTTTGTTAAATGAACTGACTTTCCACTCGTCCTTAGAAATCTACACTTGACTCACGGCGACACCACGGAATACGGCCTATGCTACGAAGGCAACGATGGTCAAGCCCCTGAAGCCTTCTGATGTCGTCTACCTTTAGTGGTCATATTTCACAACCATACAGTAGAATAGGGCGGACTGCAACACAGTACACTCGTCCCTTAACAGACAATCAGATATCGTGGCAGGACCACAGATGGCATAAGTTGACAAACGCCAATCTATCCAAAAGTCAGCATTACAAATTCGAGTTCTTCTACAGAATTTTATCAAAGATGTGGATCAATGTGTGCTTCTTACAGAATACTGTTCAACTCCATGTTGACTTGATCTGATGCACTTGTGTGCAAGGTTCCACTCTGGTTTTGTCTAACTGGTGTTTTTATAAGGTGTATTGTGATTGAAGTAGAACATTGATCAGGCATTTGTGCAATCCATAAGTCACTGTAATGATTTTCTTTCTACTTCAATGAATCAAGGTAGTTGAGCGCAATGGTAGTCCATAGTATAATCGAGACAGAGTTGTGAAATGTGGACAGAAAATCAGACACGAAGAAATCTTCATAGCCACCACTTTCAATCTCCGCTTTCAGCCAATTATGAGGTATCAGCATTCAGTCAACTGTGAACCCTCTTCCAACTTCTTCTAACATGGCGAATCGAGGTATAACCATTAGGATAGCTAACAAACTATATAAGAATGCATATATATTATCAATCAGAAATATCACCATACAATGCAGTCAAGAAACGTCAACCAAAACTGAGAGGAAATTTTTACGAGAGATTCAACTTACATTACATGATTACTTTTATGTGAACGACCAATTCTTTCACAGAAACGTAATTTATTCACCTTTACGGATAATTTGCCTTCACTAAGAGAGACAATTTTAACTTGACTACTAGACGTAGATAAATCAGTATTTGCTTTTTGATAAGATAACCCACGATTAAACCATTCTGTAATGATTTTCTTCACAAAAATATGAAGATTTGTTGGTAATGAATGAAAGACATGATCATCACTTTCTCTGGGAAATACACGAATATTACGATCAACCAACGACTGATCAGAAGGGGAACTAGTAGTAAATGAAGAGTAACTGCAACAGCAATTTTCCACTGGACGTATTAAAAGATGTGAACTGCATAAAACAAAACAGATAAACAGAATTACTTTTAAAAAAAGTCTTTGAAATTGAACATAAGGACACATTGATGATTATTATGAGACTAAATTCACTTTGAAATGACTATTACTAATATATGATAGGGTTTAGGAAGTATTTCACAAGCAATCAATATAACCTGAATGTCGTTACGAAATTCGTTTTGAATACGTAAACTGTTTTTATGTATAAACATTGACAAACTGAAGTAAGCAAATACAATAAACTACACCTTATTGAACTAAAAGTTAGACAAATTTCCCAGATTTCAATTTGTGATTCCTCTGAATAACACAAGAAAAAGCAGGATAAAAGTTTATGAATGAAAAACTTTTAAGTTTGAAAAATTCGGTCTTAAAGGATACAACTAAAGAGTAGGAGAAGCAGCACTATTGAAAAGCAGAAATTATAGGATGTCTTTAAAGAAGAAATCAGCTTCTGGTCACAAGAACTCCATGTTGGAAGGTGAAAATTCAATACAAGTCTTGAACGAAATGTTACGGTAAGTATGGGAGTAGAACTTGTGCACTGGTAGATTACAACTTCATTTTAGTTGGTTTATTAGGTGTCACAGTGAAACTGTATAATTTGCCGTATAAGATTTCGGACACAATTAATTGTCCATATCAGGCATAAATTATGTCCGAAACGTCATCCAGTAAATAGTACTGTTTTATTGTAATACATTCATAAACAAACTAAAATGGAAAATGTTAAAGCGTTAAACTTTTGCTACACAATGTTGATTCTATTTGTCGTAAACCTTTTTTTAAGTCAGGATCTGACGGCCATATTTTTGTAGAGAATGCTATCAAATCAGCTGATGTAGTTTAACACTTACTGCAACAACAATCCTGTAGACTACTTCAGCAGTCTATATATAGACAGCAAGTGATATATTGTGCATATACATAAATCATTACAACGTCAGACGACTGAATAGTACTAACAATGAACTTCTATGAAAGTGTTCAAAATCGTTGACTGAGTTGTAAGTTATTTTTATTTCATGAGTAAGAGAGAATAGGTGGAGTAAGTTAAAAACTCCAAGTTAATAGGTATTAAGGTTGGAACAAAACAACAATGTAACATCATCATATAGAGTCATTTTGTTTGAAAAGGTTATAAAAACGAAGCAAATTAACACATCTCTTCTAGCAAAGTTGAAACCAGTCAACCATATATATTGTAATGACTAAACCAACCAACTAGTAAATATTCTACATTTTCCTCTTTTTTCTGAACATATTAAATTATGGTATACGAACCAAAAACAAGATGGAACTACTTAAAAACGTAAGCGTAAGATTTGGGCTATGTGGTAGAGCAGAATTTATTGCTCATATTTAACATCAAAGGTATCATACAATTTTATTCAATCTAACAGTAGTTTTTCATTTGTTTATTCTAATGGTTGTAAAATAATTTCAGATACTTGCAGTACGTGATGAGTCATTCCGATTATGTATGTTAGGTGTTGATTCAAAGATTCCATGACCAATTTCTCTCCCTCCATATTGAGTTTTATTGGATTTTAAAAATGTCAGTGTCCCACTCATAGCATAGTATGATTAGGAGACAGTGGATGCAATACGATAGCTGAGTTTTACTCTCATTTATTTATCTTAGTAGAGTCTACCATTGTTGTTTGCTAAATTTTCATTTTCTGTAATCCTGACTGACCCAGATCGACTGCTTTGACTTATATGTTTGACTTCGCAATCACTGCATGGTATTTGATACATTATATTATATATTACATTATACTGATTGGCTCTACTGGGTCTTTCAGTCTATAAAGTTTCTCTGAGTGAGTTTGTGCGTTTAAATGTCACCGTAATTTCTGCTTTGTTGAGAATTCTACGTAAAATTTCCGATGTTTATACAGCAAAACTAAAAACGATTTGAATTCCCTCTTAGGCATATTTCAACCATCACAAACATTACCACAACTCTTATCGGTTCTTAGACACTTATGAATAAATTTCGGAGGGTAGTTATTAAGAAATCTATCAAATACTATGCGATGATTGTATGTAGGTCGAAGCAGTCGATCTGGGTTAGTCAGAATAACAGAACAAGAAAATTTAGCAAAACGTAATGGTAGACTCTAATAAGACAAATAATTTGGAGAAAAACTCAGCTGTTGCTTTGCATGCATTGACCCATAATCACACTATAGGGTGACAATTCTAAAGTGCGATATAGATGGATGGAGGGAGAGATGGATCACATAATCTCTGAATCAGTACCTAACACATGTAATCGGTATGACTCATCACGTACTGCAAGTATCTGTAATATTTTATTACCATTAAAATAAACAGATGAAAAACTACTGTTGGACTGAATAAAGTTTGAAAATCGTATGACAACTTTGATATGAATATGAGCGATAAATTCTGCTCGAAACGTAATCCAGTAAATTATACTGTATCACTGTGTGCCATATCAAATAAACAATCTAATAAGGAACTACTTTAAAAAAAAATTCCATACCAAGTTCAAAACTATTGATTCTTTACAACTAACAAATGTTACTAATTTATCTCAACTATACAAACTGGGAGGTTATAGCTACTCTTGGGACCCAGTAAGTAGAATCTTACCCGTGCAACTTACCTAAATTTCTAGACTCCACTTCCAGAATACCGTTTAACTACAACACTCATCACTCCAAGCAATTACAAACGACAGACAGAATTAACGTACAACCTCGTACACAGGTCTATCAGCTTAAGTTACCATACTTTATAGTAGTTAACAAAGAACAGGTGGATAGAAAAGGAGTGATATCAAGGAAGATAAAGTAATGTGAGAGAATAAACAATTTGAAGGAAAAGGTCAGTGTGAATACTCAAGCTTTAGAAGATGTCAAGGAGTGAATACACCTGCAACACTGCGACGGATTTCTAGCCGTGTCACAAAGAGTCCTCATCCACTGATTCCTATCGTCTTGGAGACCCCATCCACGTAGTCTGCATCTCCCTATACGACTCAGATTGACAGTAAGAGACTTCATTGACTGGGTCCAAGTCTTGGCGTAGTCACCTTGAACCTTCTTAGAGTTTAATCCAACTTCCCGTAGTATGGTGCATTGAGGTAGGTGGTGGCTCAGCATGTGGAGTACGTTTCCAAACCATCTGAATCGACTAAGGTCCACAACCTCCTCAATCGACTTGCCTAGTAGTATCCTTCGCCTGACCTCAACACCACTCATGCGTTGATTCCACCTAACGTGAGCAATGCTACGAAGGCGTTTGTGATCAAACCCTGTGATAGCTTCATATCATCTTCTTTGAACGGTTATATCTCAAAGCTGGATAACTCGCCAGTCGGCGTCATCGATGACGCAAGTTGACAGTCGAGGATATAATAACATTCACCAACCTATGTAAGATCAGATTAATCTGCCTCTCATGTACAACATTAGTACAAGTTATTATTGCCATTCCAGTTGCAATAAGTTTACGTGTGGAAACAATAACCCCTATTAGTAAATTCAGTGATGAGCAAAATTACTAGAAAAGTAAATCTGAAGGGGAAAATCATTAATATTATTTCGAACAGATAGTTTAAAGTGCCTAAGGATGATAAGATTAGTCCACTGCAGGAAATTATTATGTACTAAAATTTTTTAAATAAGCGTACAACTATTATACCAAGTTCAATTTATACACTACAAATAATTATATTCAATAAGAACTATAGAAACTAACCACTTTACATCAACATAGGTGACAAGAGTAGGCGCCCATGATCGCCAATTACGCCATATACTTGAAAACTCCACATCTTTATTTATTGTACTGTATGGTAATAATAATCCACTACCGGATAATTTACATGAACCAGCCAATCGAAAGTTTCGATTACGTGTATATACACCGACGTCACATACACTTGTCCATAAATTATTATTATTATTATGATTTGACTGAGTCATTTTAGGAAGAGCAAAACAACTTTTGGCATCATTTTCGGTAAACTCAATTTTAGGCAAGACACTTTGTGTGAACTTTGAAATTTGTGATGAACAATCGGAACAGTCATCTGTGTATGCAAAATCAGTATTCAATAAACTGTACTGCGCTAAACTCTTACAGAGTATACGGATAAGTTGCCCTATTTCAAGTAGAAAAATATAAGTCATAAAAATAAGCAAATTTTTCATGAAATCAAAACGAACAACAAAATGAGATAAAACAATTCTGTCATGTATTATGATTGCACAATTAACACCATTTAACGTCAGTTGCGGGATTTATTGTATGTGAAGCAACGCACAAAGCATATCGGTACAAATGTCATATTTAGAGGTTTGTGGAGGGTTATTCAATGATTTTAGGTAGGAATTCATCATGGACTGACATCAATTGGAGAAACATTGGAAACCTGGGGGCACTGGACAGTTGTTTCGTCCTCCTCCTCAGCAGTGCGCATCCACGACCCTCCCAGAGGACCTGCAAGTCGTGCGTTCGAACCCTAGCGGGGCGGGGTCATGTGTGCACACTGCTGAGGAGTCCCATTCCAGGAAGAAATAGTTGTCTAGTGCTCCCAGGTTTCCAATGTCCTTCCAAATGATGTCAGTCCATGATGAATTCCAACCGAAAATTAGAAAAGATGGATAAAATTCTGATAATGGGAAGTGTATGAATCTGACGCTCTACAATGCTTTACAAGAGACACAAGCCAGGTTTCCAACGTTCCTGTAACTGATGTCAGTCCACGATGAATTCCAACCAAAAATAAATGTTATAGTAGCACTTTCATTGTAACAATAAAAATTATCAATCTAGTTACAAACAATCAGCACTACAAAATTCACTGATGTTCATAATCATTTTACTTTGAATAGTTCGCTTTGTGATTAGCGGTGGAATCCAGCATGAGCGTTTCGCCCTATCTAGAGCCATTATAACAAAAAGAGGTTACAAGGATCAACAAACAACAACTGATACCCGTTGTACAACAATTCACCGTTGTATCTCAGTGGTCTAGCGGATAAAGACTTGACGTTTGAAGCAACAGGAACGGAGTTCGAGTCCGAAACGAGACGACACCACTTATCGGGGTGCCGGAATATCCAGTCACAAGTTCCGAATAGGACGAAATGTGTGTCCTGGATGCTACCAATAACCAACAAGTAAACCATAAAATACAGCGTCGACCGAGAAGTAATTTGGAAAATGCTTCAACACTACATGAATGACGAAATAGGATCAGACAACAAAGGAAGAGAACCAATCATGGGTCAAGAAGCACTCAGTGAAATGAAGGAAAATGGAGAACTGTTTGCAGACCTCTGCACGTTTAATGATTTATTTGATTGGAGGCAATGTGTACAAACACAAGGATATGCACTAAGCGACATGGATTTCACCAGACACACTAAAATTCAGACCGACTTCATTTCAATATGAAGAAAGTGGAGATGGAGACGCAAGTGCAAGTAACCCATCTTCAAAATCAAGTTGGAAGCCTCCACAGAAGTTGGTGATAGACCACAGTTCAAGTTGAACACGTGGAACAGAAACTGATGCACAAAAATTCAAAGGACATCTTCACGTCAGTCAGTGGTCAGGAAAAAATGGGAGACATTAGGCAACATCCCTGAGGAAACCTGTGTGGAAGAACACTGGAATTCTTTGAAAGCTATGTGGAAGGAAACCTGCATAACCGTGTTAGGAAGGAAGAAGAAGAGGCGAGACAAGAAATGGATCTCCACAGACACATGGAAGCTGACAGAGGAGGGAGAGGAAGATGGTGAAGCAGAAGATGAACCGGTGCAGCGCAGTGCAGGAATGAACAATAAAAAGAGGGACTAAACACAACCTATAAAACACTGGACAAAGAAGTGAAGAAGAGTATGCACGAAGATGAAAGACACTTCTACGACACATCGGCGAGTGAAGCAGAACAGGCTGCAGGTAGGAGAGACAGACACCTGACAACATCATATCAAATAACGAGGCTACTACTTGGGAAGAGATCAACTCAGATGAAGCCAATGAGAGATAGTGAAGGAAACCTAGTTACCAAAGAGAAATATGAAAGAAGGGAAACGATGGGCCAACTACTTCAAAAAACTTTAATCGCCCACCACCTGCAACTCGTCCAGAAATACCAACAGCAATCGCACAATTACGAGTGAACACAATCCCTCCGACAAAAGCCAAAGTCCTGAACGCCATTAAGTTACTGAAATCCGGAAAAACAGCAGGACCAGATGGAATTCCACCAAATGCACTGAGAACAGATGCAGTGACATCAGCATACATGCACACACCACTACTGCAGAAGTTTTGGAAGCAAGGAGAGTTACCTACCGAGTGGAAGAAGGGCTACCTTGTCAAACTTCCAAAGATGGGCGACCCAAGTCTTCGCAAGAACTGGCGAGGAATCATGTTCCTGTCCACCTCAAGCAAAATATCAAACCATATCATTCTGGAGAGACTAAAAGACGCGCTGGATTAAAATTACGAGCGGAACAGGCTGGTAGGCTGGCTGGCTTCAGGAAGAACAAATCATGTGTGGATCAAATTGTAACACAACGCTACGCTACGCATCATCACAGAACACAGCAAAGAATGGCAATCAACTGGATCTTCACCTCAACTTCATCGATGTTGAAAGGGCCTTCGACAGCATCGACCGAGAAGTAATTTGGCTGGCAGCCGCTTCAACACTGCGGTTCTAGCTCCAAAAACCTTTATCAACCTCATTCAACAACTATATGACGATGCCACATGCCAAGTGATTCACAATGGAAAACTCAGTGACGCCTTTGAAGTGAAGTGAAGTGAAGACAGGATTAAGACAAGGTTGCCTACTATCATCACCGATGATCTTCCTGATTATGGTCGACTGGATTATGCAGCTGTGAGGGGCGAGAAGAGGGGCATACACTGGCTGGACCGATGAAGGGATCCTAGAAGATTTGAATTTCGCCGATGATGGTTTATATCTACTTGCACACAAGGTCGAAGATCTACAGGCGAAAACTAACAAGTTGACAGAAGAGGCGGGGCAGCGAAGACGGGACTTCAAGTGGATGTGGAGAAGACAGAGGAGATGAAGATACCCAACCAACAACAACAACAAGCACCAAACACCGTCAACGGGAGAAATCTAGAGGAAGTAGTCTTTTTCACCTACCTCTCTACCTAGGCAGCATCGTGTCAACTACAGGTGGCGGTGACAGAGATGAATGTGTCAAAGCCAGGATCGGAAAGACAGCAAGACAGGTTTTCATTAATCTGAAATCAGTGTGGAGACCTACTGCCCTGTACTCAGCAAAAAGAACAGCATCCGGATTTCCAACACTAATTTAGTCAAGCCAGTGCTTCTTTTTGGTGGTTTGGAGACTTGGCGCGTCACGAAAAGCATTTGCAACAAACTACAGACATTCCATCAACAGCTGCCTACGCTGGCTGGATACTGAAGATCAGATGGCTAGAAGGAATAAGCAACAAGGAACTCTGGCTGGCAACGAAGCAAGAGCCTATCGCCCAACAAATATACGGAAGAAGGAAGTGGAGATGGATTGGACATACACTGAGAAGCGCGATTGGGGACATCACGCGTCAGGCCCTCAAGTGGAACCCAAAGGGGAACGACGAGTTGGGCGTCCGAGGTGGTGGTAACATGGAGGAGATCATATGAGGAAGAAATGAAAGCTTCTGGGCAGTAGTGGAGCCAGGTTAAAATGACTGCAGAGTGAAATGGCGACGTGCTACTGAAGCCCTATGTTCTACTAGGAACCCAAGGGACAAATAATGCTAACTGGTGTCATTTTGAGTATCTGTACAGTAATCACTCACCTTGTTCCAAATTGTTCTGAAACACAAGATTTTCATTATTGACTATAATGTGCTGACTAAATTTCTTCGGAGTGCTAAATATAAATTAAATTTTGAAAACAAAAGAAGATAAGCTACTTACCTAGATGACATTGATAGAATTTACGTCAAAATAATGGGACCTTTTCTTAAACACAAAGTCTACACGATGTGATGAAGTCAGCTTGAATAGTAGTACTAATTAATATTGATCGTCTGTGTGTAGTGCAGAATAAATTCTCGGGCTTTGCCTGTTTTTATCGCACGACATCGAAACAAAGTCGTAGAATAAATTCAACATTTATTCTCACTATATTCAAGAATATTGACAAATTTTTGAGGTGGATTGTACTTCCATTCAAAGGAAAGGGTAGACGTAGGGGCTTTCCTACTTTATTGATCAAAATAACTTTGGGCAAGAAGTTTCATAACATAGCGACATAATTGGAAACTGAATTGTGATCAAGCAGAACATAGCACTAAGAATGAGTAACAAATTACTTATGAAGTGAATAGTGTCAAAACAGAAAAATAAATAATTGGGGGGCGGGGGTAGAGGAGATTTCAAAGACTGGAAACTAAGACGATAAGAGGAGTAGGGGTTAAACAATCTTCTTTTGCGTACACAGTTCAGGTTTCTTCATATGGATGGCAAGAGCTTCGACGATGCAGAGAATACAAAGACATACAGCCTTTGAAAGGTTTCTTTTTGACTTTATAGATGACTTTGAACGAAGACAATCTTGAGACACTATGATTTGTGTTCACGATGTGTTCAATTATGGCGCTCCTTATCGCTCCATTGTTACCTCTTTGTAACCATGCGGAATAGTGCTCTTGAATAGCAGTGGTATCGAACGACCTAAATAGCTGGCTCCACAAAAGCAGGTGAACTGATGTATGCATATGGTAACGGTTGGGTGCGAAAGTTTCTCCTGTGAGTTGTTAGAAATCGTCTTCGTTTTCAGTCTTTGAAATCCCCCGACCTTTTCTTTTCATTTTTCTGTCTTGACACTATTCACTTCTTAAGTAATTTGCTACTCATTCTTAGTGCTATGTTCTGCTTGGTTACAATTCAGTTTCCAATTATGTCGTTATGTTACGAAACTTTCCTAACTAACTGGTAGTATGTGGTGGAGTAACGGAACTCAAACTGCATTTGAAATTTTTTGAAATGTACTGATTAACCTTGTCTACGTTGGTGCAGTAGGCAATGAGCCACACCTATTGTGTGAGGGCTAACGGGGCTCGGAACCGTTGCCAGTTCATTGAAAGTCATCTCCCTAAACAAATGAGCCACAGTTCCACTGCATGGCATTCGAGTACAGAATTTCTAGAAAAGTAGTCAACGCAAGTATCTTCTTACTTGCTAGATTTCGAATACTCAAAAGCTTACTGTTCTTTCTCCTTCTCTGAAGCCTTAAAGAAGAATACATAAAATGCAGCTGAAATTTGAATTTTCACTTTCGGTTAGCAACATTCCCGCAATGAACGACTGTTCACAACCTAGCGTGATTGATTTTCAGAACCTTGGCGAAATTCATAATTTCGTACACTAAACAACAACTGGTGAACATCTGGATTTTTGCATAAGCAAGACCATACTGTTTCTTTACATGTGAAAAACATAGTTGGTTACAGATTTGATTGGACGATCACATCATAATGAAGTTTTGTCCTCATTATCATGTAATATCTTACAATGATTAAATGTGATCTTGTTGTACGTCACCTCAAAAGTCTGTATCTCGAAATCGAAATGCACTCGGTAACCATGTGTACACTCATGCAATAAGCAACGAAACACACTTATTGCGCGATGGCCAGTGATACATCCTGGTTGCCCAAAGTTCGGTATGTGCAGCGGTGTTCAAACCCGTGACCAGTTCATTAAAAGTCATCTCCCTAAACAAATGAGCCACAGTTCCATGTATTTACCGACAATTGTCATCAAATTTTCATTGGCATATCAGAGATTTCTTTAAAACACTTACTACCTTCACAAAACTAAAGTAGTATGCACCAACGTGATACATACTGATTCAATTTGCTGGTTAAAAATTTCTTGAAACACCCGTGAACAAGACTGTTAATATTTGCTCAGATCTTCAGACTATCTTAAGTCCAATATCTGACTACTGCTTCCACTTTAGAAGAGCAAGTCAGTTGATTTAAGCACATATGTCGTCCATACTAATCAATCTGAAATTGTGTTAATGAATCAACTTTCTCATAGATGAAAATCTAACAAAGATCATTACGTATGCACAACTATTAAATTTACCAAAGGTAATATTTTAAAAGTCATTGTTATCAAACTGTCAACATGAACACTGAATAAACAGTTGCACAAATTAAACGTGGAGCTATGGTTCATTGATCTAGAGAGACGACTTTCAACCTAGGGGTCGTGGGTTCGAGCCATGTTCCACTACCCAGATTTCAGCACCTTGATAGTATCATTAGCCCTCATACAACAGGTTTGGCTCACCACCTACTGCACAAGGTGGTTAAAGGGATTTCGATAGCTTAAAAAGCTGTTAACATCCAGGTAAACATACTAACAGTCATAGAGATTATGAAAACAAGGAAATATCAAACACTTCTTTTTGGAAGCTACAGAACGTTGATCAATAGGAAACTGTTGCGCTACATATTGCGAAACAATTCACTTACCTTGCATCCAAAGTAACTATTTCATTGAGGCTAATACTGATCCCATAGAAAAATTTGATACAAGCACATAAAGCCTGAATATAATAGTTAGCGAGAAAACAAACAGATTAGAGATGAGAAATATTGTATACTTTAAGTAAAATATGTTTGGTTGAGAAAGTATCTAACTATAAAGGTGTATACACTCCACTGAGATGAGATGTGGATGATATTTACATTAAAGCCAACAAAATATCTCCCTCATCCCGACGCACCACCTACCTCGATGTGCCATCCTAGGGAAACTGGATTAGGGTTCAGAGTGGTCAGACCAAGATGTGGCACCAGTCGATAAAGTCTCTGACTCTTGACCCAAGCCGTATGAGGAGATATAGACTATCTGGTTAGCGTCCCCAAGACGATGGGAGTCAGTGGTTGAGGACTCTTTGTGAAATGGCTAGAAATCGATCACAATGGAGCAGTTGTATTCACTCTTCGACGTCTTCTAAAGCTTGAATATTTCCAATAACCATCATCTTCAAATTGTTTATTCTCTCACACAACATTGTCTACTTTGATATCACTCTTTTTCTATCCAACTGCTCTTTGTATACTACTATGAAGTGTGGTAACTTGAGCTGATGGATCTGTGTGCGAGGTTCTATGTTGATTTTGTCAGTCACTCAAGAAGCGGTTATGAGGAATAATGTTCACTTAAGGTCAAAAAATCTCAGCCAGTACCAACATAAGACCTGGCATTATTGGATTGTTACACCATATTAACGCATCAAGATACAAGCAGTAGAAAAAGATCAAAAGGAGACTATGGTCTGAATCGACTGAATTTTCTAAACTAGTGTAACCCTACATAAACTGTTCATTTTTAGTTTTCTAACATCAAAGTTTACTTAGAAAGATAATCCAAGAAATAAAAATACCAAACTTTATAATTGGATGGAGAATAGAACAATTTACTTACACAACTTACTTTCATAAAATTATTCACGGCCTTCACTCCATCTTTATTTTCATTCGATAGCTTGCAAAATTCTAGATCCAAATACAATTTGGCTGGTCTGTCTAAAGCGAATATTTTAGGATAGATAAAGTGACTATAGAAAATGTTATACAGCAAAACAACATTGAAAATAATTTATGAGATTTTGCCACATAGAAAAACAACGATAAGATAATTAATTCAATTATGTGAGCAGATGTCCCAATACATGATGTACTGATGTAACAAATGTATCAGCTTTGACTGATAATAAATAAACTAACAGTGGACTTCGTAAAATAGTCTACCAATTGAAGTTAACAGATCTCATAACAACACACAAATGAAACCGATGAGTTTTTAAGCATTTCAGCAAACAAAAAAGATGTGACAGAAGAGGAAAATTAAAAAATCCTATCTAGAAGTTTGTAGAGATTTACTAATTGATTTTATGTTGAAATTCATCATGGACTGGCATCAGTTGGAGGAACATTGGAAACCTGGAAGCACTGGACAGCTGTTTCGTCTTAGTATGGGACTCCTCAAAAGTGTGCACCCATGACCCCCCCCCACCAGGGACCGAACCTACGACCTTCAGGTTCTGTGGCCAACACGTCACGACTGAGCCACTAGATCGAAATCCAGTCGCTCATCTTTCCTACTCCTGTCAGTTTACGATTTAGCGCCACTTACACCCAATGTCGCCGTTGAGTAACTGTCCTCATGTTCGACTTGTTTGACTTCGCTGGTTACGACTTCTCAGTGGAAATTCGGGAATCACCTCTCGAAGCTAGTCACTGATGAGGGCTAGCTTAATTCTATCTGGAGGTTAGTGGAGGTTTATTAATTGATTTTAAGTTGGAACACGAGGACAGTTACTCATTGACGACATTGGATGTAAGTCGCGCTATATCGTGAACCAACGAAAGTAGGAAATATGGACCATTAGGTTCCGACTCAATGGCTCAATGGTAACTTGCTGGTTACGGAACCTGAGGGTCGTGGGTTCGAACCCTGGCGGGGAGGGGTCATGGGTGCACACTGCTGAGTCCCATTCCAGGAAGAAACAGTTGTCTAGTGCTCCCAGGTTTCCAATGTCCCTCCGACTGATGTCAGTCCATGACGAATCCCAACCAAAAATCAAAAAAGGTGGATAAAATTTTGATAATGAGAAGTGTATGAATCTGACCCCCTACAATGTCTTTCAAGAGATACAAGCCTCAAATACTAAATCCCGAGCATCTAATGGATTACCAAAGAAAAAAAACGAAACATACAGTTATGGAATCCAGGAACCATGACAAAGCTAACAAAGCATCTATTTTTCAAGTGAAAATAGTTACTACACCTACACAACTATAATCAACTTTTGGACACAACTATGAGTTACTTCTAACTGAAGGACCCCGAAAGAACTTGAAATACTTCTTCGAATCTTCAATCTTTAATAAGCATGCAGAAATAATAGGAGCGCTGTTTTGCTCTCAGTGCTGGACATTAAGTATGCTTTCTATGAACAAACTAGTAGAAATGAATCGACTACTAAAAAGAAGTAAAATGATTCAAATGTCTTCTTATTACATTTCAAATATTAAAATACACCTGGGCACAGAACGCATATCAAACATTCAACTTTTAACCCACAATAATTAAAAGCGGTATAATTCCTAAGCGTTTACACTTAAGATAAATATGTTGTGTACCGCAAATCGATCAGGGGTTCAAGAGTTATTTTCGACTAAAACAATGGGACCGCCAGGAAAATATTAACTTGATAGGCCTTTAGAAATAAGGATGAACGAATCGGAATCAGTAATCTTGTGCACATTCTATCAGTAGCCGATAAATCATACCTAGTGTGTGTAACGTACTGATACGACCTAGCTATCCAAACCTTAGTTAGTAAATGAAGCTGGGTTAGAACACACGACCTATCGGTTGAAAGTCATCTCTCTGAACCAACGAGCCACAACTCATTCCACTGTAGTGATGGCTACAAAGTTAATTGACCGTGTTTGTAGATGTATTTATAATACAAAAGTTGTTCATAGGAATGAATTTCTCCTCCTCAATAATTTTTATTTTAGGAAAATGTACAACGTAGTCACGCAATGGATAATCTATCTTCTTTCTGAAAATGTATGCTAAATAAACCGCATAGATATCACACAGCTGCAGAGGAACGAAGTATGTAAAGATTTTTATTCATTTCAGTCTCCGGGTATGTCAGGATTTTAAATAAGCTTTTTGATCATTAGAATCTTTCAGTATAGAGAAACTGGATACCGATATACTACTGAGTGTGCTGGTCACAGATTAAAGATTTATTCCAAATTAGCAGAATGGCAGTTTCAACAAAGGCGGACTAAAAGCACCACAATATAAATCGTAAAGTAAACTATAAAGAAACTATAGGTAAAAGACCTACCGACCATGATTACCTCATAATGGCAACGTGCAGAAGGTTCCATTTGCCTAGCAGAGAAAGAAAAGCGGAATATATAAATATATAAGACCGAACGAAAATACAACTACGAAGCTGATGGTCATATGCAACGCATGAAGATGAACAAGATTAACTGGCTGTCCACATCTTAGTTCCAAGGTTAAAAGTCAGATTCAAACACTACGGGTTTACAAACTCGAAATAAGGAAATTTCATCACTGATACAAAGATTACCTTACCTAGTAGTTTCAGAGAAGATACCGTGATCAAAAATACAAAGATGCATTCCTCAAAATAGGTGAACAAAAACGACGCCGATAAATAGGCATCTCATTCATGCCAAGTGCTCATCACAGAACAGAAAATAAACTACATTGTGCACATCCATGGAGTAAGTAATAAGCCACACATGTTGTCTGAGGGCTAGTGATACTAACTGGTTGTGTAAACCTCGGTAGGTGGAGCAGGGCTCAAACTGTGAACCTATGGTCAGTAGTCATTTTCCTAAACTATTGGTGTTACAGCTCCACCGATATACTTAAAAAATAAATCTCTGATACGACTAGATTCCCCTTTACCTTATGAATAATTGGGGCGGGGGGGGGGGTATGAACAATACCTGTGAATCACGTAAAGACTTCAAGCACGGTTTATGCATAAGCCCTCAATAATATAGTGAGCCATCATAACTATTTCCTATCAACAGCTGTTTACCTGAAATGATGATGAGGCTTGCATATTGAATTGACTCAAAGAAACATGCTAGCTGGAATGATTATTTCTAGAGGTTGTATAATGCTAGAAACATTAGTTGAATAGTAGTAACACTATAAATAGCTTAAATGATGGTAAAGGTCTGAAGGATGAGTCGCATCACTTCTGGGCAAGGATATGAAAATAGTAAGGTATCTTCCAAGCGACCAGCAGTCCAACTGCGTTACATTTCCACTTTGGGAAGTTATAAAGTGTCGTCCTCAAATATTTTTTATTCAATCTTCCATAACGGCTTCCCGATGCCAGTGGTCGATTAAGGAAAGAATATAAATCAACGAAAACCAATATTGCTGAAAAGAAATCGTATTCGAATGGACTCAAGCAGACATCCGTTGAGCTATATAGTCACAAAAAAACCTAATCTGCCTTCATTTTTAGAAGACATCGACTTCTATAGAATAGTGATTTGGCTTAGAATCGATCGCAGTGGCGTAGATGCATCCATGCAATATTTCTATCGTAATTGTCATATCGAATTTCATTGTTTGTTTTAATCTGCCCTTTCCTCTCTTATCATAACTTTCAATCACTTTTCATTACATTTTGCCTCCCTATTTCTTTATCTTTCGTCTTGTCGCCTTGTTTATTGAAGTACTGTTAGCAGGTGTCGCAACTTGGAGCGTTACAAAGTAATACTAGTCCCCAAGTTGTGATTGTCCCTGTTTATGATTTGGGCAGCCAAGAAGTGTCTATTACCCTTACACTTAAAACGTCACTCGCTTCTCTTTAAATCAACACCTAACCTAACTACCATAATACACGTATTGGTTATCAAGTTAGATGTGTGTGCACCATACAGTTCGTGGTGAGAATGATTTAACTGAGTAAGATCACAGTGATTTTCTGTGGGGAAAAAAGTATCCAGATCACAACATTTGATTTGCTTGATCCCATATATGGGGATAAGATTTCGAGCAATAAAGCTGTAAGTTACACATTATCGACCGGCGTGACTAGTTGTAAGTCACTCATTCCGATGAATAATGATATTTAACCAGATAACGGATAACCAGTTCACTAATTTCGAGTCAAATTACCCGGCAATTAACAGGAATCGATTCAGTCCAGTTCAAACTAAAGCTGCCTGAGCACATTAGTGATACTAATCTTCTGGTGGTTTGAACGACTCAGATTTTCGCGCTTAAACAACCTGGGTCAACAATTGATGATTTCAACGCCAAATAAATGAAAAGATCACCCGATGTCTACATTCCTGCAACTGGCGTATGTAGCCTATAACCATTATTCATGTCAACCAGTACTAAGAGTTGTACATTTTGGTTACCTTGATGTGCAACTAAAATGGTCAACGGTCCAAGTTACCACACACAATATCAGCACATCAAGGGACAATGCACCAAGAAAAAAATCAAGAAGTAAGCAGTCAGAAGTGATAATAAAAAAATTCCGTTACTTACTGACAACTGGTCATAAAATCAATTTAAATGACTATTTCTCTGTAGTGATGCATAATTTCAAACCAGTGATATTGAAAATAAAATAAAATTTATCACATCAACTCCAAATTACGAGACCAACTACTTACGGATATGACAATGCGTCTTTCTTAAACTAAGTGGATTATTAGTATTACTGCTTGTATTAAACCGTCGTTGATTGGTTCGAATTGATCGGTCTCTATTGGCATATGGGCGGATGCATCGGTATTACCTATATTTTAATTATAGTAACGATGAATAGTGGCTAGTAGTGGAATCCGTCCTATTTGGGACTCATCAGCTGGATGTACCTGCCTCCTAGTGAGTGATGTTGTTCCCACCGGGATTATATCGAGGCATCCGTACAGGAGCCCATACACCAATAGAGACCGATCAATTCGGTCCAATCAACGACGGTATCATATAAAAACAATTATACTAAAGATTATTAATATATCTAGTAATTTCAAATAACATAACTGAAGATATCATTAAATTGTTTTTGTTTTATACAATATTGGTTGCATAAAGTAATTGAAAACAGACAGTAGAAAACGATACAATATAGCAATACTTATCTTTTGAATTCTTTTTAAATGAAACATACCTGTAAGCATGGAAAAAAGATTGAATACCAGAGGCTAAGAACATACGTTGGCCTTCAACGCCAAGGGACAAACTTTCATAGCTGAATACCATCATCTCCTAATAATAGAAAATACTAACTAAATGTATTACAGGAGATATTGTAAGGTTAAAGAAATGTCTTGGCTGTATTGTGTTCTCTGAGCTGGGTTGTTTAACCGTGAAGCTTTCATCGTCCTTCTAGACGAAATCATCTTCAGTATGAAGTTAGTGATGATGATGTCGTCTAGAAGGACGATGAAAGCTTCACAATTAACCAACCCAGCTCAGAGAACACAATACAACCAAGACCATCCACCTGAGCTACAAATATTCTCCACTACTTCAAAATTATACCAGCGTAACACGCTTCACGTCGTCCGAAGATGGAAGACTTTTCCAAAAGGTAAGCTTCCACAAAAGAACAACTATCCTTTCTCCACGAGTGCCTACGTCAGCATGTTCTGCCGAAGAGTGTCAGATATAGACCGCCGACTAACTGTCAAATGGGATGGAAATTGCTAAACTAAGTTAAAGAAATGTTTCCACAATTAATAACCATAGATAACAAAGAAACGAGTCTATAGGTTTACAAAGCTTTCAACCCAACCGATGTATTGCAACCGTCAATAAGAGAAATTAAATACAAATCTACTTTTATTTTCATAGCTGTGATTTTTCTCCCTTAAAATTAGAGCAAGGTATGTGAAAAGTTACTAGTGAACAAATCCTCGTTCCCTTTGTCTTAATGTTTGGACTGATATTTAGAGAGACGACAAACGTATCCAGATGAGATAACACATAAGACCATTAAACATCATTCTAACAAGTATTGAATGCTTACAAGACCTAACTATTAATACTATTGATATCCTCAGTATGTGTAAGGTCTACAGAACTGGAAAGTCTAAAAGGTGTAACTTTCTACTAGTGTACATACACCCTTATTTTCGATTTAGTGGGGAAAAAGGGGAGCGATGGCATTCAAAGTTTTAAAAACAACGCGGTTGAATGCAATAACTTATATGACATTGAAATGAATATCATCAATAAATTTATTGTTCAACCAAACTAACCGACTTATTTCATAAAGGACCAATTATCGTTGTGAAACTACACTTTTTAGTTATTCCAGTTAAAATGCTTATTTTATGTTTTTTAATCGTGTAAAATGAGTATCACTCTTTAACTAGAGATCGATGTTTGAACTACTACATTTCCGGTTGCTGAAATACTAATGAAAGAGAGGAGTGTACCAAAAAGTATGAATTCAATACGTAACAGTCAAATGAACCACCAGCATAGTATATTGACACTACAAAGAATATTTTATTACAAATGAATATCATATGAAGAATTATTCTGAAAAAACTGAAAGCACTGCACAGCTTGTTTCGTCCTAGTTTAGGACTCCCATGAAGCGCATACCCAGGACACCATTTAGTACCCAGACTCACAGTTGTTGTCTTGCCCTGGAAGGAACATATATCCACGACTTCCAGATTTTCTATACTTTTGTAACTAACATCAATACGTGGTGGAAACTACTCTAAAATTAACCATACCTCAACAAACCACCAACTAAAATTTCTATTGCAACATGATATGATGAAATTAGGCATAAGATGGAAAGAACACCAAACAACTTTGGATATTAACTAATAGTCAATTATTTGTCTACTGATCCAAAAAAGTGTAAAATAATGGATAACTTTTAGGATCTTCTGAAACATAGGGTAAAATAAGATTAACATAAGTTGAGATCCGATTTTTGGAAGGTAGAAGGCAGATAAAAATATGATCAGGTTGAGTTTTCTCAATATAAAGTCACAGTAATAGCAAACAATTACAACTTCTGTACAGAAATTTACCTGACCAAATTGTTTGGCGAAATTGATAGCATCTTCTTGTTTACGGAATATTTTTCTAACACTAGTAGGGCCTCGCAACCTATCAAAAACAAAAAAAATGAACTCTCAGTTTGTCGACAATACAAAACAAAACTTAGAACAAATAACAACAACGTATTTTGAGGTTAACGGGAATTTTTTTAAGGTAGCATTTATCACCGACTGACATTATTTGGAGAACCATTGCAAACAAGGGAGCGCTGTTTCGCTCCAGTATGGGACTCCTCAGCAGTGGGAACCCACGACCCGGATGGGAAACTGTGGACCACTGAACTATGACCCAGTGGCTGAATGGTTAATGAGTTCGCCAAGAAACCTGGAGGTCCTGAGTTCGATCCGTAGTCAGGTTGTCCGTTCGTACTACTGAGAAGTTCCATGCTAGGACGAGATACCTTTCCAGTGATCTCAAGTTCTGCAACTGATGTAAGTCTGTGGTGAATGCTAACTTGGGTAACAAAAACGATTACAAAGATTCTTAAAAGAAGTAATGCGTAAAGACAGAACATTGCCCGATTAAGAGCAAAATATTTCCCAGACAACAGGAAAGTTTCTAAGTGTCCTGGTACAGTAGTCAACGAAGAGTAGTTTTATTTCCTTTTTTCTGAAGTGCCTCTGCACAAAAGGCATTGTGAAAGTTACGTCATAGTAGTCCTATTCATTGGCTCGAAATAACCCTGACATCCCTTAAAAAGCTCAAGGGCAAGAACCGGTGTTCAGTGATGAACCTAGACTAATGAATAGGGATACGGTAGAAAACTGCTGGAGTACAAAGGTTGCTTGATTCGGAAGGAATATGATTACTGATCACTACGAGATGCTAGTCATGACTTTATCTGACTGCCTTGTAGACTAGACAACCATCTGACTTGATCTGACAACCCAAACAGAAACCAAAAGGCCCTATATAACATTACTTGGTTTACTAAATCATACCGCATGAAAAATAACATACTTATTAATTTGTTTGTTCACACACAGTTGCTTTGCTTAGGGTGATCTTCTGGAGAAGTACAAGATATTCAAAAATAATGAATGAGTCCGTTGAAAATCTACATCTGATTTTTGAACATGAATCTATGAATGAAACTGATTTTCTTAGGACGCTGGCAAGTCGTACTATTGTGCACTGCACATCACAGATCCCCATATTTAATGCCACAGTGAAGATTATGGTGAATCATTCAGTACACTGCTAAAGACCAACGCTGGTGTAAGAAAAATTATTCTCTACTGAAAGCCTTTTGTTTTATCCCATTGGGCGAAGAGGGCTTTCATTCATCAAGAGTTCTCCATAAAGACAAAACAACACTTCATTACTCACATCTCTTGCTTTTATCATTTCTTCACATAACATCATTTTACGACAAAAAGCATCGTCGTTAGTTTACCAGGATTCAACAGGCGTATGCAGTGCAGCTAGCTGTGGCTAATTTATCAATGCTTCAGATGACCAGGAACTGGATAATGGGGTGATTTTAAAGGCCACCCTAAAGACAATGGAAATAACTAATCAGACTACTTTATTTTATGAAAATCTGCTTTGAAAGAAAAAATGAAGAAACCTAATTGGTTTCTTCTATTGTCACTAGGGTGGCCTTCAAAGTTTGGCGGATAGTGTGTATTACGCCCCAACGTACCTACTGTAGGTTAGGTGATCAAGCGTATTACAAGCTTTAACACAAATACGTGCCTCTTAGAATGACTTTAAAGGCCACCCCAGCAACAACTGAGATAACCAACTAAACTTTTCAATTTTCTGAAAATCTGCCTTTCCAGCCAAAATGGAGAAACTTAATTAGTTATTTCGATTGTTGTTAAGGTGGCCTTTATAATTGCCCATTAAAAAAATCTAAGTAGTTACCCTTCGATGTTATCGTGGTTACAGCTTCACACCGGTAAATGTTAATGATTACCAACCAACCACACTAGAATTCTTACAAATAAAATAATCAATAACAACTTCCTAAACGCAGAGGCTATCTATAATCCCGTCGTTTCCTGTGTTTTAAAGTCTATAGGTATCCTAGATTCACTTTTAGAGTTTTAAAACAGACGTGTGCAGTAGACATTTAAAATATTTCCCGTGTAATCAAATAGGACAAGTACACTTCTAGTGACATGATGCGTTTTTTGTAAAAGCGTATTACTATGTAACGGAGTACTACTCTACCTGTCTCTTGTCCTAAACAATATGCTAGGTTTTTCTAGAATTCATAGGTTTTGTTAAGTAGTAAGGTAATCAGAAACCTATATTGAGTACAACAGCACTAACTTTTGCACTAGACATGTGAAACTGAATTAATCACAAAAACAAAGACACATTTCTACTCTGAAATCTAGTCCATGTATCCTTTATTTTCTAAATAAAGAAAAATAATCTTCAACAGGTGTACACTTCCTAGAGTTTTGCTGAATAAAGCAAAAAAAAAGTTGATAAATATGCACAACAAAAGTTGTTATAAGAAACGATTCTTTAGGCTTCAACACTAATAACTATGTATAAGTAACTAAAAAGGTGAATAATGGTATGACATATATGATTAACTTACGAAGCACGATAGGGTTGAGGTATTCGACGTACACGTGCAGCAGCGGCTTCCAAATCCCATTTTTTGAGTCTAACAGAGATAAAATAGTTTGAGCAAGATAGAATCGAAAACCACTCAGCAACTTTGTGCACATTCGTGTAATTGGAAGTGAGTGACACTTTTTTTGTAAGAACTAATGATGCTACTTGACTGTTCAAAGTCCGATAGGTGGAGTGGTTGGAGGTCAACTCAGTAAACTAATGAACCACAACACCACATTAAACCAGGATATCATCTATCGTGTTTGTACGACATTCATGACATTAAAATGAGTATTATATGCAGATACAATTAATTAAGGTAGCAAACAACTATATTTTAGTCGTTGAAAACTTATCCCTCCACCGTACATCTTAAATAGAACTCTTTTTGTAAATAATCAAACAAACAAAAGTTCTTCATTTTTGTAGCATAAAAGTGTTAACGCAAAATAGTAATAACTCGAAAACATCCGTTATTTGTGCGCTGTAAGATACAGAAATCTCTGAACACTTTATTATTTTTTATTCATTTGCTTATGCTCTTTTTGTACCGCATGGTCTATTTGATGTATTCTTACTTCTTTTGGTATCACATCTCTGCCCTGATATGAAGTGTGTCGACATTTTCTATCTGACTGAGATAGACCCATTTTTCAATTAAGAGCGGTAAAAATAATAAATGGAAAGCGATCAGTATCATGTTTACAACAAATGAGTACCACGAAACAAAAGATATCACACTAAAAAATCTTAGTGGTCAATCATAGGTTCATCCAAAAGCAACAGCTAGGCCTGGTAACCTGAATATGCAAAATAATCAGCGATTATCCAAAACAAATTACCTAAGAGTATATATGAGTGTAATCCAAACATTATATCGATCTTGGTGACTTGAAAAGGAATCCAGGATGCTCGTCTTGCCCTATTTCGGACTCGTCAGCTAGATGTACCGGGATCCCAGTGAGTGATGTCCCTACCGAGGCTCGAACCCAGTACCCTTCGCTTCAAACGCCAGAGCGTGACTATCGTGCCTCAGTGACTTAGTGAATAACGTTCTGACGTTTGAAGCGAGGAGTAATGGGTTTGAGTCCCAGTGGGAATAACATCACTCGCTGTGGTGCCGGTACAACCAGCCGGCGAGTCCCAAATGGGACGAAACCCACCTTCTGGATTCCTCCGCTGGTCACATCCTAAATATTCAGTAGTAGTGGGGCATCCGCATAGGAGCCCACCTGTCAACAGAGGTCCAGTAATTCAGCTCTGTATAGCAACAAGTATCATAACAATAATCCAAACATTATTAACTGGAAGAAAACACGATTAAATAGCAGATGCAATTTTAGGATCAGAAAGGAACGGAAATAAATTTCTAAAGAGAAAAATGACAGAACGATAACACCACTGATGGGTTTAGAGGACATTTCATAATAAAGTGAAACTAACATAAAACTATTCAATCCTCTATACAACAGTAAGCATCTAGTTACATAGACAGAGAAAATCAACGTAGAACCTCGTACACACAAGTGCATCGGTTCAGGCTGCCACACTTCAGAGTAGCATGCAGTGAACAGAAAAAGGTTGACATCACAGTAGAAAACTGTGTGTGGGAAGATCAACAATTTGAAAATAAACGTCATTGAGTTACGTCCAAGGTTTAGGATTGGTCAAAATAAATGGATTTGGGTCACTATGAGCGATTTTCAGTCATATCGCCAAGTGTCCAACCACTGGTTCCTACGATCCCGAGAACCCCAACCAGGGGGTCTACACCTCTCCCTATATAGCTCAAAACAACAGTCAGAAACTTCACGTACTGGTCTCACTTCTTCTTCTGGTCACCTTGAGCTCATCCAACCTGATCCAACTTCTCCTAGAATTGCACTTCGAGGTAGGCGGTGGATCGGCATGCACAACATATGTGCAAGCTACCTAAGTCAATGAAGGTACACAACCTCATCGACTGACGTTTTCTTCCTAGCCTAAAACTTTTCGTCTGACCTCGATATTGATAACATGGTGATTCCATCATAGGCAAGCAATGCTACGAAAACATCTGTGACCAAGACCCTGTAGTTTCTTTATGTCCACTACTTCAAACGGTCATATCTCGCAGCTTTATAATAGGACAGAATGAACTACAGCGCAGTATACTCATCCTTTAACAGACAGTTGGATATCTCGCTAGCCGGCATTAGAGATGATGCAAGTTGGTAAATGTAAGCCGAGTCTTCTGTATCTGAGCTGAGATTTCGTTAACAGACAAACTGTTTGGGCTGATTCAATTACCCAAGTAAATGAAGTGGTCGATATATCATTAAACTGGGAGTACTTCTGAACTAGTCCTGAAGCACCATCTTACTTTGACATATGCGACAATATATGCCAAACATACTCAGATTTCACCTCAAGGCGTTTAGATCCCGCTTTTTATCTGTATCTTTACCTAGCAGGACAAAGCAATCTGTGCCTCAAGTCAGTTAAATGCTCTCCAGCGAGTAGGTCAGTCCCTGAAAGGCAAGTGCACTTAGGATTATATCCATCATTACATACAGAAGGACAGTAAGAGCGAGCGTGGAAGTTGTCGGTCGCTGATAAGTATGCCTGTATCCCAGAACCTGTTGAACGGTGAAAACCTGATCGATGAACCATCATCTAGGTTGGAAACCTGTCCGGATTTTTCGAGCTCCAGCTGACGTCGGATAATTAAGAATACAAGCATCTTGGACACGATATTAGTCAAACTGGTCCCCCTATGGTTCTCATAAGAAGACTTTTCTCCTTTCTTATATATATATATATACCTTCATAACTCTTTCGTATCTACTTAATTATCTTTATGAGTTTGAATGAAACAAAAACCAACTCATTGGCGTAAATCGCTTGAGGTGAAGTGAGTGGGAAAAAAATTAGGACCTACTAGTTGACAAAAGCACATAAGCCAATGAGTCACAAACCATGAACACCTTGCAACAATTCGATTACTGTTTTGCCACGATTCATTGATAATTGAAGATAATACTCATCAAGAACTGAAAACAGTGGGAGAACCACTGGAAACCCGGGAGTGTTGGAAAGTTGCTTCGGCCAACCATGTGATTACTAAGCACTGCGCATCAACGATTAAAGAGAGGAACCAGCTCAGGAAGGCTAGGCCTTGCGACGAGCGCACTACCGCTGAGCCAATGAGTCGAAATAAAACAGTACACAAGATTCTACCCTTATCAACTTGTCCAACAGAAACAATACTCCTTGCTGAGTATTCATCCACACAAATTTAAATGTTATAAGGGTGAATAAGGATTGGCCATAACCTAAACAACCTGTGGAACACGAACATTTTCACACATCGCTAGAAGAAACACATGTAAATTATCTAAACCGTATAATGTATTTGCGCAACCCATTTTAAACAGTATTACCATTCACTTACTTCTTGTAAGTATTCATATGAAAATTCATAGAGATAAGAGATGAGAATATGAAAAGGGTCAAGTAGGAGTGCAGAATTAAACGTCAAATAACAATAGAAATCAATAGAGCGAAAATAATAGTACATCAAACTCGGTTTCAAAATTGAACTCATCAAGGGAGATTTAATGTGGTAACAAATTGTTTCTGAGCACAGTGGTGGTTAAGACTTCCTAATAGCTAAGACCTCAACAAGTTAAAGGATTCATCCCCAACACGTTTTGTAAATAGGTCTATAGGAAGTAGCAACGTCAATTCTATGACCTGTCTCAACGATATGTTTTGCGATCGAAGTACTTGGATGTCTGCTACCACAACGTTTATGGGTTCATGTAATTCAATTTATTTCTGAAGTCACTTTGGAATATAGTTTGAGGTCTGTACTTGCATAGATTCACAACTCCAGGTATTCTGAACACTAATTTCTGGTAAATTTATTTTTATCTTCATGGATGGAACACATTTTGCAGCTAAATTCCATTGTATTCTTGATAGGAAACAGTGGTCGCTAAACTAGCGAAACTGCTCCGTATGAAAGTCATTGCCACATAAAAATTTGATTCACTGAAACCAACTGAACCGCAATTCCTACATCTTTATGGTTTGCCTAAACCGAACAACTCGTTACGTTTTATAATGTCAGTGGGCAAATCACCGATTCATAAGCTTTCTAAGTGGTTAATGGAACCATTGGATCACATTAAAAAGCGATTCTGTAAGCATTTCTAAAAAGATACATTCACAGTAATCGAATGCTCTGATGATGTAGACACTAAAAATGAAATCGTGTTCATCTGACGTTAACTCACTGTTCACCAACGTCCCTTCGGTCAAGACAATTGACATTTTATGTCATCACATTTCTATGCATAATTTTTCCATACATATTTCTCTGCATTACTTAAAAGATCTACTACTTTTATCTAGACGCAATATTAAACTTACATTCGAGAGTGAACAGGTTGTCGGCGTTGTCATGGAAAGTCCCTTGGGCCCCCTTTTACTAGACATATTCATATCGAAAGTGGAAAACTTAGCTGAGGATGATTGAGAAAGTTCATCTACATCGAGAAACCCTAGTTATTTGTGGTAACTCAAGTCAGTCCACTTCAATTCTAAACCGATTGAATAAAGAGCAGAGCAGCATATCCTTGACATGTGTAGAAGAGAACGATAACTGCTTGCCATTCCTGGAGATATTAATTTATCAGCTGCAGGATGGATCCATAAAACGATCTGTCTACAGAAAGTCTACATAGACAGGGCAATATTTGAACTACCATAGCTTCTATCCAGTTCAGTACAAGTGAGCCTTAGTTAGGTGATTACTCAATAGAATTCAACGAATATGCACAGATGATACTTTGGAAGACGAGAGAACATTGACTGAAACGCTGTTAAAAAATAGTTATCCATCAAAACTTAGCAGCCAGAGCACCAAAACCTGCCATTCACTTCGGCTTGAAGAAAGATGTCCTTATCAGTCTTCCGTTTGAAGATGACTCACAGTGCAATCCTTAAGGAGAGACTTCAAGCTGCTATTAGAAAGACTCATTATGCAGTTGGGGTCCAACTGACAGAAACCGCCAAGCCCATACACCAAACCCTTACAGTGTGAACCCCAATGTCACATCCCATGGCATCTGCCTATTCAAATGTACGTGTGGTGACACAAGCATAAGGAGGACTCATAGATCCATGCAAGTACAGACCTCAAACTATATTCCAAAGTGACTTCAGAAATAAATTGAATTACATGAACCCATAAACGTTGTGGTAGCAGACATCCAAGTACTTCGATCGCAAAACATATCGTTGAGACAGGTCATAGAATTGACGTTGCTACTTCCTATAGACCTATTTACAAAACGTGTTGGGATGAATCCTTTAACTTGTTGAGGTCTTAGCTATTAGGAAGTCTTAACCACCACTGTGCTCAGAAACAATTTGTTACCACATTAAATCTCCCTTGATGAGTTCAATTTTGAAACCGAGTTTGATGTACTATTATTTTCGCTCTATTGATTTCTATTGTTATTTGACGTTTAATTCTGCACTCCTACTTGACCCCTTTTCATATTCTCATCTCTTATCTCTATGAATTTTCATATGAATACTTACAAGAAGTAAGTGAATGATAATACTGTTTAAAATGGGTTGCGCAAATACATTACACGGTTTAGATAATTTAAGTCTTATTGTTTTGTCGAAAATTATTAGAACTAAGCGTTCTAAATTTCGCATTGCTCTAGGTTTCAATGGGTTTTGATTGTAAACGTAGATCAATCAACTCACGTCTTCATACTACATTCGCAAAACACTAGAACTGGATGATCAGTCAGTGCGTACAGGATATTCAGAATCTTCTTGCCTAAAACTGAAAAAAGAAACAGGAAATTGCAAAGTGATTGATAACGGTTTTTTGCTCTTAGATTTCAACAGAAAAGTTAACTAGAGTTCTAGTTGTAACAGCCATGCCTAGAATAAATAATTCAAGTAGTCGAAAGTGGTGGTGATAATTAGATTACCTTTGCGTTCCTCAGACACATCGTGAGGAACCGTTTGCTGAATACACAAGACTAATATATACGAGGAAAACATCCCAGATTTTTATAACGTTTACTGATCACACTTATGTAGCCGTATTTATGCTTTAACACACAAAATTGTAATCTACGCGCTTAAAATCTACTGACAGAATGTGAGAAATCTGCATCCCTAATATCATAAACAATAATACTTCCAGCGGAGAATGGTGCATGAATATACTCAGTGACATAGAAAAGGTTCACGATTTTTTACCACCGTATCTTTTGTAACGTCACCAGTTTTGTGGGATAATCGGTTGAGCAATGCGGAATTTAAACGAAGAATCGTATATGAGGGAAGTGGGTAATCAGGTTATGAATCTTCATCGATTGAGGAAACTAAGTCTTCTGTTATACATGTTAAAACAGAATCTACCCAAAAATAAACAATGTTAGATGCGGTAGGACAAGGATGACCAGTTTCAAAATTGCATCAGTTCACGAAGTCTCTAACTATCCGCTTTAGCTGTGACGAGATATAGGCTTTTCTGGTCAGTGTATGCAAACTAGACTGATAGTAAAGTGGTAGAGAATATTTGTAGCTCAGGTGGATGGTCTTGGTTGTATTGTGTTATCTGCACTGAGTTGTTTAATCGTGAAGCCATCATCTCTTCAGACGACATCATTAGCACTAACTTCAATATGAATTTATATTGAAGTTAGTGTTGATGATCCAATGTCAGTTGAGTTATGTGCAACGAGTTCCATTATATCATATAGCAATAAGATAATTTAGATACATGCTCTAAACTAGTTTTAGAAAAAGCCACCTGTTTCTCGGCTAGTATTTTTGCCATGTGTAAGTATATCCGTCCACGAAGAGAAGCAATAAAATGCTTGTTTCCGAGAACAAAATTATTAACTAGTCATATGTCTGTCTCACGTCGATTCGTGATAAATTGAAACCTAAACAGATCTACTACTTTCCTTTGAAAGGCAACGGTTGCTTTCTACTTAGAATCCAAGTATTAAAGCAAACGATTCGAAGATTTCTGCAGTTCTGTCTAGCTTAACCTTTTTAACTCCAGTTAATAAACAGATAGATTACAAACGCAGTCGTTGATAATCTAATATAACAAAAAATTTTTCTCCTTGAGGAGCACTTTTACGGACGTCGACCCATATACAGTACAGCTATATGGAACAGAAACTGGATGTAACTGCTAGTGGGAATTCCTGGGGAAATGTGACAACGTGGACCAACTGTTATTAGTAAGTAGATACCATTAATACTAATAAAAAATAGACATCATGGGCCAACATGTAAAAATAACAGTCAAATGTTTGTCGATTTTAACACCCTATCCACAGGAAAGGAATTAATGATGATTTTCACTTCATAAAAGCAGTTGGATACTTTCAAGGTTTCTAGGGAGGATGAAACGTTCCGTAGAATTTTGCACATTACAATTCATTCTGTTAACAACTGAAGACAGCCGAAACGACTAAATCGTAGGACAAGACAAAGTTATATTGAATGATTAGATTAAACGCAGTGATGAGAACAGAACTTGTATTAGATTCCACTACGATATGCACCTCAAAAAAGACCGGGATGGTGCAAAATCCCTCCTCCAAAGTTATAAAAATCAAGTTATACTCTTCACTGTACTCCCTACAGTTGTAATGGCATCAAAACTAGCAAGCACCTTACTTTTGCAGCATAGTGCCTCATTAACAATTCAGCTTCCAGGATTAAAACCGTGAACTTATGTGTAAAACGCTTCCGTTTAGACTAAGTAAATACATTTCTCAGTGCTCTCCTTTTTGTCCGAACTAAATTACGGATGTTATCGATAATGGTGACTATTTAAAAACAAATAGGTTCGGTTATTCATAAATTATGTTTTACCTTTCAATATATCTTTATCCCATAGTAACAAAGTTCGTCCCTTTTATGAAGGCTATAATGGTTGCACAGCGATGCGTTCGTAAACTACTTTTAATCTATCGTTGCCTTGATATAAAAGGAAAAAGTGAAGTAGCTACTTAGTATTAGTACGTGAATGGAAATGAAGTCTGTGTAAGCGTCGGGCTAATATATATATATATATATATATATATATATATATATATATATATATATATATATATATATATATATATATATATATATATAGGCTTCCACGCCTTAACTACTCGATCATGAATGTTTCAGAAATGTTTTTTCGATACACCTACTAAACGCCTGCGAATTTGAATGCAAATACAGTGAAGGCAGAAAACCTTATATCTGATAGACTTATTGGAGTATTTCACAAAATAATCTTCCCATAAAGAACCCCATATTATAACCTACGCAAAATTCGGTGTGTCACAGCACTAACTATAGGCTTTGTAGATGACTTTGGCTTCTTTCGCGTCTTCGATATCATCCAGAAAATTGGCTGAATGTACACGAATGTCATAAGGAACCTATAGCATAACACGGACTATACGATGCGTAATGATGGTAGCAAATGAGCAAAATCGTAACACTGATGCACTGAAAATGCAGTAGACGAATACATTACATGAAACATCAGAATCAATCTGATTACCATTCATATTCTCACATTTCACAGGCCTTCCAACATCCAACATTAACAGTGCGAGTAGAGGAAACTTGTAGTTTTTGAGCTCTCGCTTCTAGGTTTTGAGGCTTGGTTCTATTTGTTCGGTCATACTCCGGGAGTCACACAAGTCTCTGCGTTTTCCTGTTTATAGCTTTGGAGGTGTTCGATTTGCAAATTGTAGCTTGGTTTGTCTACGGGGTGGGGGGAAGGGAGGGGGCAAGCGAGCTGCTGATAAGATCAATCAACAGTTTGCAATTCCTGTCGTTGTAGGCACCTGCAAGTGTTAAGCGTTACTTAAAAAGTGATAGAAACGGGGTGAGTGGGGAATAAGAAAAGGGGAGTGAAAATTACTTTTGAAAAGATAAATGTGAATGGTAATAATATAGAGGAGAGCTGCGTCTTACTGCAGATACTAGGGTTGGGGAATACAGAGATCGAAGGGCGTATCATCAGTTGCTACTAACAAATGTTCGTGGTAAGCCATTTGCGCTCACATATTCATCCAGTAGTCGTTTGAAAGAGTTGACTGATGTAGCTGTTGCCACTTCTTTCGGCAGCGCGTTCCATAAGGCATATACTCTATGGGAGAAGTTAGATCTCACCCTAGTTTCTGCCCTATGGTGGGGTGTGCGAGTGAGGTTCCCACGGGACTGTCGGTTTCGGACCGATAATGTTGTCCTATTTGGGTGGTCCACTTGGTGAATGATCGTGTAGGTTGTTATCAGATCCCCTCGTTTTCTTCGATAGCTTAGTGGGGACAAGTTGAGTTGTCTAAGGCGTTGCGTAAATGTTTTGCCTGTCAGTCCGACAACCAACTTTGTTGCTCTTCTTTGTACCTTCTCGAGAGAATTTGCGTCTCTCTTTAGTAGTGGAGGGGCTATCGTTGAACACCTCTAGGTGGGGTCTAGTGTAGGCTATGAATACCATAAGGAATAACTCTGGGGTTAACAATCCAAGTTGTCTTTTCAGAAAGTGCATAATGGCGTTCGCCTTTGCTGACATTCCCTTAAAAATACCAGTAGTATCCAGTGTGTCAGAAAAGTTTAGTCCTAGGTCCTTCTCTGTGGATACCTTAGTGATCGCACGCTTGTTAAGAGTGTAGTTGATTTTCATCGCCTCTGGTGTGCGAAGATACGTCAACTTGCACTTCTCCAGATTAAAGCTAAAACCGTTTGCAGCTGACCAGGACTCCAGCTGCAACAGGTCGTTTTGGAGTATCCTAGGATCCTCTTCGTCACCTATCGTCCTCCATATGTTGATGTCGTCGAGGAATAGGAGGATTGATGAGATTTTAGTGGGGAGGTCATTTATGAATAGTAAAAATAGGAGTGGTCCAAGGATTGCTCCCTCGGAAACTCCTGTTCTTGCATTCCTCCAGGTTGATTAAATTCTGTTTACTTCAGTGCAGAATCCTCTGTCCTCGAGGTATGCTGTAAACCATGCTAAGAGTGGTTCAGTGATACCCACTTTTGCTAGTTTGGCGAGCATAATGCGGTGTGGGACGCTATCAAAAGCTTTGGCCAAGTCCAAGAAGACAACATAGACTGGTTGTTTGTTGTCCCATCTAGTAGTCCAGTCATCTCAAGCGGTCATCAAGGTTGTGGCACATGACCGCCCGTTTTTGAAGCCATGCTGGGTAGGATGGACGATGTTGTTTCTGTTAAGGTAGTCCCAAACATTTGCAACTAGGCTTTCCAGTATCTTGGAAAGTATGGGGAGTAATGCTATTGGTTTGTAGTTACACGGGTTCTTTCGGTCTCTTCCCTTAAAGATCGGTGAGAGGATGGCGCGTTCCCATTCTTTGGGGAGTTGACTTACTTCCAGCGAGTGCGTGAACAGGTTGCATATGGTTATGCTTAGCACTTCGGCACAGTTGCGTAGGACAACCGGTTTTAAGTCTTCACAGCCCGGGGATTTCCTTATTCTCAGTGTTGGAAGTTCCGCAAACACTTGCTTTGACGAAATCTTTACGTTCATCAGCTTTGTATCGCAGTCCTGGGACTTCGTTACACTGCTAGATATTGATAGTGGATGTATTACTGGGTTGAGTTGCTAGTCAGATCGACTGCTCAACAGTTCCGCTATCTCACTGCTGTTCAAAGGTTCTCCCGCCGGCCCTGTGATCCGGTTTAAGCCCTTATTTATCGGTTTGCGTTGTGATATAAACCGATACAGACTTTTCGGATTGCAACTTAACTGTTTAGCCAGGTTGCTTTCGTGTGTATACCTGTCATTACGAATTCTTATATGACACAAGTTGCGTAACGTCCTATAGCTATAAAGGTCTGATTCTTTGCGTGATGTACGCTACAGGTACCATGCCTTTGGGTTACCCAAGGCCGTTTGAGAGGTGGCCGTCTGGTTAGTTTTGGAACACTTTTTTCGATAGCGCTCCAGATAATAATCTTGGTGACGAGATGTTCTGCAAGTGTGTAGGTCTTGGTAACCGACTTACGTTGCTGTCAGGCGAATTTTCAAGTCCCATTATTGCTGCTAACCTCCTCCACTGCTCGACATCATGAAGGTAATTATCACACTGTGGATCCACCCGCCAGTTAACGTATTCCATGCACCACCATGGTTGCAGCTTTGTGCAGATCACTAGGCGGGGCTTCCTCTTCGCCTGTCTGGAGACCCAGGATTTTTCTAGTTCCACCCTTATGGGTAAGGAGCCTGCAATGTCTGGTCGCCGCGACAGCAGTAGTATGTTCTCCGACTGTTTCGCCTTCATTGCTGATATTCTGAGAGACGGCGTTTGTCTCGAGGTGCTCGACTTCTTTGGGATAGCCGGCATAAGTTGGCTGCGGTGATTTCTATTCCCATTTTTCTGCAGTAGTCATCCCACTTCTTGTCAGACTGTTCTCTTTCTTCTAAGTGTGAGTCTGTTGGTGTAGGGATGTTGAACAGAATGATAGAATCCGTTCTCTTGTTCTCTGAGTGTGGAATATCGGGCTTGGTAGCCAGTGCTTCCGGTCTACCGTTTACCCTATTCACTTCCATTCGTTCTCAACGCAACCTGTTTCCTGAGGTCGTTCAGTCGCGTTGGATCGCCTGGGTGGCGGTGATACAAGCGAGGACTTTTTCGGTGTCTCACTTGGAGTGGGAGGCAGTTTCTTCCTGTCTCTAGTGGTGGTGTTTTTGCACACCTGTGGAGCTTGACCGCATTCTGAGGAAAGATTGCTGGAGCTCGTTCTTTGTAACATTTTTGGCTAAACTAGGTTTCCCAGTGGTGATAGCCAGTGATTTCCAACACTTTAGGCATATATACCACATCCTTTTACATGGGTACTTCCTCATAAAGCTATATTACTGCCCTGGTAAACCATTATCACAGTTACAGTGTACCCATCTAAGACAGATGTTGCACGCAAAGGCTTTTTGAGCCTCTAACAGCGATTCTTTGTAAACACCACAGTCATCGGAGGTTTGCTCTTTGTTGACGACTGAGTGGTTTGCTTTCTGTAAGGTGATGTCAGACCTAGCGCGTTTCCCCGTGCTTTATTTCCGGGATGTGCTACTATCACCCCGACTACAGGGGTTTGCCGGTTTCGACAAATGCTGAACCTGACATGACAGTGCTATGTGAATCTTAGACGGTGAATGTGTTGCTGAACCCATCTTTTCTGCACATACTGGATTCTGTCCACCTGTAGACCTCGTTATACGATTGAGGGCTTGCAATCTGATATTTTGTACCATTATAGTTAAGTGACTTAATATACAAATAATGTAAATTAAGAGGAGAACAAAGAGTAAAGTGGATAGCTTACCAACAGGAACTTGGTACTCAGTTCCTCTCACTTTATCAGCAACTTTGACCGAATACTCCAAGTGCGTATGTAAGGACCAAGAAAGATACTTCTTGGTGAATGGTCCCCGAAAAGAGCCAAAAGCTATACCCGTTGAACGGTCCAGACGACTACGAATCACCAGCAGTAAGTATTTCCGAGTTGAGAAGATAATTGCGTCGTTGTACGTAGCAATTCTTGCGTCCAGTTGATTAACTAAATCGTGTCCACCGTTACGACATGATTGACGGCTGTTTCTCGGTGATAAAGACCGTGATATTGCCTCTAGATTGGAGATGAACGAACCACGATGTTAATGAAACCGCGTACAAGGCCTTAACCTTTATACCCTCTGATTTACCTTCATCTGTGTTGGGTTCATTCGAGCAGCCAGTCATAAAAACACCGAATTTCTTAGTATACGCAGTTCGTTTTGGTGATCAGCTAGCTAACATCCTAACTGACAAGCATAACAAACGTACAGCGGAAATCTTTGAAACCAACACGATTTTCAATGACATGGAATCCCGTTGCATTTTAATATCCGATATCCAATATCTTTTTACGAGCTAGTGTAAACCAGTTGTTCTTTTCGCACTTGCCTTATAGCATTGCGGAACAGCTTCAGGTCTTCGGTGGCTTCCTATACAGTAGGTCTACCCACTCGCATACATTAGCTATGGTCAGCTAGGCGGGTTGTGGTGGTGGTGGGGAACTCCTAGTAAATAAGGTGAAATAAAAGTCAAAGGGAAGAGAAGGAGCAAGTAAGATCGCAGGATTGATCATGGGAATAGAAACAGTAATTTTATTAGTGGGGATACGGTAGCCGGAAGAAACGGTTGAAGGAAAATATGAGGTTGAGTCAAGTTCGCGAGGATAACGGAGACACAAAAGATTCGCTGCTGTCCTGTCTTTGCAGGATTGTACAGAATTATTAGGTTTTGGCAACCTATTCCTTGTCCAAGCTAGATGAGCAGAGGCCGCTGTCGCTGCGTGGCTGTTCAACCTCTTCCTGAAGTTGTCGACAGGCCAAGCAGTGGCTATCTCAGCAAGTGGCGTATTTCAGTGGCCCAGACTCGCGAAGATAAGAGGTGCGAATGTGCATGAGTTCTTGTCCTTTGGTTGGTGATTCTCCTTAGGTTACCGCGATTATCGCCACAGTGACCGTTCGTTAAGATTCCACTGCTCGTATGACTTCGACTTCTCAGCATTTTGCCAGCCGTCATCAGGTCACCGCGTAACCTACGGTATCTAAGAAAGTGAGGTTCCAGGTCTTTCAGCCTGTCCCCGTAGGTTTTTTGCCGCACACCCGCAGCACCCTTTGTTACTCGCCTATAGGCTGTCACCAGAAGGTTTTCGTCTCTCCTCGGATATGGTAGTGCTATGGCGCTGAGGAAAAGTGGACCTTCTGAGGTCTTTTATAAGTCTCGTGGATCTTCAGGAAGAGCTCCGGAGTGCGAGCACCCGGTTGTCCGCACAAAAAGTGCAGTACTGTGTAGGCTCCAGAGGCATCTCCTGGGAGAATGGAGATAGTGTCTTGTTTATCAATCAGTTTTAGTCCCAGGTCTTTCAGAGTGATGGTGTCGGAAGGTTGCGTACTGCAGAGAGAGTGGGATAAGCTTTGCGAATCAGAAGTGCTAAGAAACATGATTCAGGAGTTAAACACGTCAAATGCTGGTGCGTTGGGATTCAGTCACTCTGCAAGCCATCTGATTTCCCTTTGAACTGCACCTCATTCTATTTCGGGTGTTGTAGCTCTCCATTGGCCTAACACTGTCAGAACAAAGTCCAATCAGGGAGCTGGAACCCAACGGTATGTTATTCACAAAAAGAAAGAACTACAATGGACCTAGAATCGCCTCATGTGACACACTTGATGATGTCCTCCAGGTCGAGTAAACCCTGCTTACTGTCCGCGGGAATCTGTCATCTAAATGGTCCCGCACCCAGCAGAACACCTGACCGTTCACTTTTGACCCTGACACTTTGTAAATTAGAATGTCGTGTGACTACGTCAAAGGCCTCGGCGGAATCCGGGACGATGACATGAGTAGGGACTTGGATGTTGCACAAGCAGCCCAGCTATCAGCGGTAACAACAACGTTCGAGGTGAAGGACTTTCTCTCTCGGAAACCGTGTTGGTCATCACTAACTGCTCCCCTCTTGTCCAAGTACTCTCTAACATGGTCGCCCACCAGGTTCCCCATTACTGTCAGCAGCGCTGGTCGAAGTGCTATGGGTAAACATCATTTCCGGTTTTGCCTACCCCGAAGATGGAAGAAGTAATAACACATTCCCACTCCTGTGGAGGCGCGTTTGTCCGAGGAGTGTTGAGACAGATTATGCAGCCGACCACATAAGTCACCCGTGCATTGTTTCAGCACAGACAGCCGAGTGTCTACGCATCCTGGTGGTTTTCCTGCATGGAGCGTTGATGGTTTCCGAAGACCATGGCGAATGTAGGCTTTATTCCACGCAGCTCTCCCACATTAAGTAGTGCCGAAGTTTGCCCAGGTAGTTGGCAATTTTGGTTGAATGACGGAATGTTTAGTCGTGAGTTAAGAGTGGCACTAAAAATTTCGGCAGTCTCCAGTCCAGAGAGGTTCTCTTTCCCTGAGGCTTTCATACAACAAGCCCCTTGATCGGCAAATTTTCTCTCCAACATAGGCCGACGTAGGTTTTTAAGGTCTGTCTCACGCTTCTGGGCAGAGCATTTGTGGAACGGCCTCCTGTCACCCCTACTTTCACGCTACATTGAAGCCTTGGAGCCAAATATTTGTTACTATCTTATCTTTCTGGAGAGCCTCTCGTTATGCCATGGAGCCCCCTTGGCCTTCGTGAGGCGTTCAAAGCCTCCTTTCGGCTACGAGGTTCACTTCTTTGACACTGTTGTGACTTGAGGGACGCTGTGAGAGACAGATGTCCCAATGATGTCCCTTACTAGTTCCAGGTGCTGAGCAGTCGACAACGTACTCCGCTGCTGGTGTCATGGTGCTGTCGACAGGTATTGGCTCGTCGCCATGTAGTTTTCCTCGCCGTGGAAAAGATGAAAGCGAGATAGTTCCTATGATGGTTGTTCACCGAACACTGGACTGAGCACAACCATACCACGGTCTCTGCAGCCAACAGAGGTTTGAACCCAAATGTTCTATGCCAGCAGATGGTCGCTAGTAAGAAGACAGTCCAGAGTGGACGATTTTCCACCCGACCCTAAGCATGTGCTATCGGTAAAACTTTCTTGCGGTTCAGCCACTTTGATGACACCTTGCGGGTTTCAGTCAAACGTCCGGCTTAAAGTTGCCCTGCCCTACCCAAGATTGAGATTTGAGGTATTAAAATCCAAGTCACATCCCATGGCCATCACAGCGAACATTGCCCGGGATAATTGTCTGTTCGGTTCCATGTTGTTAGTACGGGTTCTACAAACCCCCCCCTACCAGGTGCTTAATCTGTTCAACTGTGAAGTGACATTAGACTGAGTCTTGTAGCTGACAACACAATTTCAGTGGTCCGTTCACTTCTGATATGGTCACTCATAAACGATGCCATTCTGCCGGCTTTTAAGTGTTCCCTCCTCTCTTAAACAGATACATACCGCCTTTACTATTTTTGATGTAACCAGTATCTGGCGTTAACCAAGTTTACGCCAGGATTATAGTCTTCGGGTCACGGGGAGAGTAATTCCACCGTCTTACCTCAGAGTCCCCTTAGATTGCCGTAAAGACACTTAAAGATGCTTCTACTAGCGTGGGGTGTATTAGTGGCGGCTGACTCTGGAGGACCTTATGCAATGATGAAAGTTGTTACTGTTTGGCCAGCTCCAGAAGAACCGGCCCAGTCAGATTTCCTCCCGCAGTGCTTTCTGAGGACGTAACAGAGCCAGGGTCCGTTTTAACATCATTTTGTCGATTCGTGGTAGTGGCGACCCCAGCACCAAGAGGACTGTAGACCACCGTTGTCTTAACAGTGGCGGTTCTCCCTGCCGTTATCCTTAGCTCCTGAACATTATCGCAGTACTTTGAGTAGAAACCCTTGACATCCGAAGTTAATGGCCATCAACCTAGGCGATCCCACTGTTGTCAGACATGGGAAAAATGTGAGCTCGCAAACCGCTGCCGCCACTGTCTCATTTATTCGCGTCTCGAGGTATTTTTCCGGCCGATTTTGGCCAAACTTGCCTCGCTCCGATGCTGGATGACCGGACGATGATCGGTATGTGACAGAAAGGAAATCTTTCAGCCTCCCTAGCCGAGCTCAGGGTTACCTCCATCGGCGGGGGCAGTGAATGGTCGCTGTTGTAGGGCCAGCACAGCTTTGCTTCTAGGCTACCTAGCCCTAGTGTGCAGCATGAAAACAGGAACGCTAAATAAGGCGATGGAGTCTGACATGTAACCGATATCTCAGTCTTCATGTACCGTGGGTGGGCTTTATGGAAAAGGTGCGCCTTCTTTTCCACCGTAACTCATTTTACACCAGTTGAAGTGGCAGCCGTCACGGCAACTTCGGGGTTTGAGACTGATGTGGATCTTACTACTGGTCATTTGGCCGCTTTCGGAATATTCGCCAGAGTGACTACCCATGTAGTGACACTGACACCCTTTTTTGACCCCCATTGTCAGTGGTTTATTTGGGTGTTGGTATTCGAGTGGTTTCCGGGTTGTCTTTTATGGCCTCTCCAAGTGAGCCTGAATGCAAGGGTGATTTACATGGCACAGTGAGCAGATATATCAGAACCATGTGCATGGGTGACGCACCATGAGGGTGTGATATTCGTTTGATGCTCCCTTATCACATTGACGGCGCACCTACTTGTCACAAACGCTACAACCAAAATCCATATCCTTTTCGGCTACAGCGGGACCACACGTGTGGCTACCGTCACTGTGGAAAGAGGCTTTAGTCAGGGTCTTTTCGTCCTCCGTCTCTTTCTGTGGAAGCCTTCACAGTTAGGCCAGAATTCGGGCTAGGTGTACCAGCAAGACATGCTCTTCACCGAAATATAGTAGGTAGGTTCTGAGAGTTGGCCAAGACAGGCATTCGGCTTTCATCGGGAATCGGTATCCGTGGCTGTCCTCCTGATGTTTACCTCTGGTTTCTTGGGGCGGTTTCTCCCCTTGGCCTTCATTCCTAGCTAATATAGAGGAGGGAGCGGTCACTGGCAGGCTCATGCTTCACTTCAGGTGTTTTGCGGCAGAATTTTGTTAAAACACCACAGCTACGCATTTCGGTAAGTAGTTAAGAGAAAGGGTAGGACATGAATGCTTACGTCAAGTAAAAAATAGAAAATCTATGGAAGTTGGGGTAAGTTCTTAAGCTTACCTACCATTATCTAATTGCATGACTCAGAAGAATGCCATAAGCTTTCTGCAAGTTCAGGGTGTGTAATTGTATGAGGCAAATAGTGCTATAGATCAGGCAGCCTGAGCTGTAGTGGTCGGTTAGGACGGCTAGACCTATCATCGAGTTACCTGTTTGGAAGATGATAGTAGTTACCGGATGAGGATTGTACTTTCCAT